CAAACGTGTTGCAAACCGGTTTATATTTGATCGGGTAACAAACCAATATTTCGAGCCATTTTCTCAGTGGCAGTTGATTTTGCATTAGCTATGTTGTTTGACTTGGATATTTTCTTTTGTCATCCCAGGATGTTGCTATTTCAGCTGTGGGTCCTATCCAGAACTTACCCGATTACAACTGGTTCAGACGCAGAACCTACATGCTCCGCTACTAGTTTCTCAATAAACTGGAGTTGTTACAAAATCACATTATCTCTGTGTTCAGAGCGGCATATTTCAATTCAAGATCAACTAGGGCTAACTCTCAAGTCTTCATGCTATTCTTTTCGCCCTCTGCTTTTGTTTCCTGTAAAATTTTTCCAAGCAACGAAAATAAATAGCTTGCGTTCAGCAACATTATGTCAATCACAGGCCCGAACCAGATTTATTATTCCGAAAACTGATAGCATCCACAAATGCTGGTACAATTGAGTGTGTTCATCTGGTTTGGATAGAAGACATGTAATTTTGCCTGATTTTCTTTAATGTATTCAGTGCTCCGGATTGTTGCAGAATTTGTCATATTGTCCCATGTGAATGTGCAATTCTGAGTGGTATAAATGACCATTTTGGATTATAGATTCCAAAATGTCTTTACCTTTTTTACTCATATCAATCTTGATTCAATTTTTATTTTATTTTTATATTTTGTTGTTAAAAGTGATTGTCTTGTGTACTACGGAGTATTTATTAGTCAAAATTAGTAAAATTGAACAAAATGTATAAAATGGGTAGGAAGGAGTTCATGGTTTTGTGACTTGTTCTCATCCATATGTTTAACAAGGGTAGTTATGGAAGTAATCCCAATTAAGTTGGTAATGCTGTTGACTCGATAATTATAAGATTATAAATTTGACTCTTAATGGAGGTGGTCTAGTGACATTCTTGATTTAAGTTGGTCGGCTATGGACAACTTCCACCTTGGGGGCAATTTATATCGTGCGCTGGGTGTGCATTGCATTGTGCACCTGGTGCAAAACGAGTGTCGTTTCGATTTTTTTTTTTGAAATTTCGCTATCTTGTGCTATTAATTTTCTTTTAAAAAAATCACATGTAGTTTTTTTAAAAAGATAATACACATAATCTAATATAGGGAAAACGGCACTTTTTCCCCCTGTGTTATATGTTTATAGTACTTTTTCCCCCTAAGTTATTCATGCACTCACATTTGCCCCCTCAATTATTATAGAAGTGGCAGTTTTCCCCCCTGATAATATTAAATGGACATTTCTACCCTTAAAACAAATATTTTATTTATTTCTCTTCTTCAACAAATTATTGCTTATACGTAGGGATGACCACGGTTCGGTTCGAACTGAACCAAACACTATAGCAATCAAATTAAAAATTTCGGTTATGATTTATAACATAACACAATGTTTGGGTTTCCGTTTATTAAAATCGTGAACTGGAAAAAAAAAATGGATCCTGAATCGTGAACCGGAGATTCAAATCGGAACAACTACTAGCAATAGCTTAAATTAGAATTATAATATTTGCAAATAGTGTATGTTTTTTTCCGCATTTATATTGACTCTCACATATAAGTATATATAATCGCGATTTGAGTTTTATTTTGAACTGTCGGTTCACGATTTTGGATCCAATTTGAACGGTTGGTTCAAACTTTCTTTTAAAATTTTATTTTTTTATTTTTAAAATATTCTAAATTTAACACTTAATGTATTTTATTTTTTCAAATCGTGGTTATAATTTGTTGGAGAAGAAAAATAAATGAAATATTTATTTTAAGGGTAAATATGTCCATTTAATATATCAGGGGGAAAAACTGCCACTTAAATAATTTAGAGGGAAAAAGTGCTATAAGTATATAACAAAGGGGGAAAAAGTGCCATTTTCCCTCTAATATAATACATAATACACAAACTCTTAAACTCTTAACATAATACACATAAATTTTCTGTTTAAGATGTACATAATTGTATAAAAAAATATACATAATTGTATACCATAATGTACATAATTGCGTCAACTCCCTACATAACTTACCAAAACGACGTTGTTTTGGGAGGTGCGTGGCGCACAGTGCTATGTGCACCGTGGTACATGTATAATGATTGCACCTTGGTATATTTAAATAGTAATTGCAGTGAGACGAGCTTCAATTTACCTTGTAATTTACTTAATGCACACTCTTGAATAATGGTTGTCGATATCCCTCATCATCCAAAAGGCAAGATCATTTGGCAAGAAACAAGTAATAATTTGTGTGAATGTAGGATAGAATGATTCAACAAATTCCTACCTGTAAAAATGCCCACTACAATCTCACCTTCACTTGCATTCCTTCTACCCTTTTCCTACTCAACCCTTTGCTTGCTGACAGTCCTAACTCTTCTATAAATCAATGCCTTGCTTAAACCAGGCAAACTACTAGTTTTCTGCTAAACATCTTACTATCAAACATGGGCTCTAATGCAGGACAAACCTCTACAAAACAAGACGATGAGCATATCTTCAGGAGCAAATATCCACCAGTCCAAGTCCCTGATGACATGACACTGCCTGATTTCGTGCTTCATAACGTGGAGCTCTACGCTGATAAGGTGGCTATTGTGGATGCCACGACGGGGAAAGAGTACACATATGGCCAAGTTGCGAGGGATGTCAGGAGGTTTGCTAAGGCGTTGAGGTCGCTGGGCCTGAGGAAGGGGAGACTGGTGGTCGTCGTGCTCCCAAACGTGGCTGAATATCCCATCATTGCACTGGGAATCATGGCGGCCGGTGGCGTCTTATCGGGCGCTAACCCGACTTCCCATGCATCGGAGCTCGAGAAGCAAGTTCAAGTTGCAGATGCGAAGCTCATTGTCGTTGATGCACCGACTTATTACAAGGTAATGTAGAATTGGAGACCCTCAGAGTCTTGGATAATTAACTGCTGCCAGTGTTGCAAAAATCGGGCCTAGGCGCTAGGCGGTCGGCCACCTAGGCGCTCTAGGCGCCCACCTAGGCGCTCTAGGCGCCCTAGGCGGTCCCCAGGCGCCTAGCGATTTTTTCAACCTTGACTGCTGCCTTTATCAATGATGAGAAACTGTTTTGTATCATCACAAATGGCAGGTGAAAGATTTGGGGCTTCCGGTGATAGTAGTAGACGAAGAACGTGTGCAGGGAACCATAAACTGGGGTGAACTGCTGGAAGCTGCAGACCGTGCAAGCAATGATTTTGCATTCAGTGAAGACGAGGTGGTGAAACAGAACGATCTGTGTGCCCTTCCTTTCTCCTCGGGCACGACTGGGATGTCCAAAGGGGTGATGCTAACCCACAGGAATCTGGTGGCTAACCTTTGCTCCTCGCTCTTCAGCGTTGGACCGGATATGATAGGGCAGCTGATCATACTCGGATTGATCCCGTTTTTCCACATCTATGGGCTGGTTGGAATCTGCTGCGCAACCATGAGAAACAAGGGGAAAGTGGTGGCAATGCGGAGGTATGAACTCAGGGCATTTCTTGACGCTCTCATCACCCATGAAGTCAATTTTGCACCCATCGTGCCACCCATCATTCTGGGGCTCGTCAAGAACCCTATTGTGGATGAATTTGATCTCTCCAAGCTCAAACTCAAATCCATCATGACAGCTGCAGCTCCCTTAGCACCCGAGATCCTCAACGAATTTCAGAAAAAATTCCCCGGCATTCAAGTCCAAGAGGTCAGCAACAGCAAGCATGCATCCCAATAGTGTTTTTATCCCAAATCTCAGTATAATCTTCACATTCTTCTGCTCTTGTTGCTAGGCGTACGGGATGACTGAGCACAGCTGCATCACACTAACACATGGAGATCCAAGAAAGGGCCATGGCATTGCCAAGAAAAACTCAGTAGGCTTCATTCTTCCCAACCTGGAAGTGAAGTTCATTGATCCTGACTCTGGTTTATCTCTTCCAAGAAACACCCCAGGAGAGCTTTGCGTCAGAAGCCAATGTGTTATGAAAGGTGGCAAAACTACCATCTATCACTGTCTTCCCTTTCCTCAAAAACAAAATCCTACTGGCCTTCTTAGTTTAATCCGGTCAGCTATGGACAACCTAGGCTGGTTTACCTCGGTTCTTGCCAGTTAGGGTCAAAAAACAGGGTTTACCTCGTGCACACCCTCAGATAGTGATTGCGGGTTTCTCTGTCATTCAAAAAAAAAAAAATCTTTATGCTCCTCACTGTACTTAATTTTCAGGCTACTACAATAACGAGTATGAGACTGCACTCACAATTGATAAGGATGGTTGGCTTCATACCGGGGACATTGGCTACATCGACGAGGATGGAGATATCTTCATTGTTGACCGGATCAAAGAGCTGATCAAGTTCAAGGGATTCCAGGTAAGAATACTGCCAACTGCAGCATCATACTCGGAGCATATATAAATTTTCTCGAGTAATTAGGGATGGTGATGAATAACTTACAGGTAGCTCCGGCTGAGTTAGAGGCGACACTTCTGAGTCATCCTTCAGTTGAAGATGCTGCTGTGGTCGGGTAAGCAGAAGAAAAAACCACCATCTTCATCAACTGCATTGCATAATTCCATAACTGCATGCATTGCATAATTCCATAACTGCATCCATTAAGCTGCAGGCTACCTGACGAGGAAGCTGGGGAGGTGCCGGCAGCGTGTGTGGTTTTGTCAGCCGGAGCAAAGGACAGCGAGGAAGACATCATGAATTACGTGGCATCTAGCGTTGCACACTATAAGCGCGTCAGAGTTCTTCATTTCGTTGACGCCATTCCTAAATCACATTCTGGGAAGATCATGAGGAGGGTTATCAAGGACAAAATGGTGCAGAATCTTACCACTGCATCATCCCATGATGTCCGTAAAAAGCTATTGGCATGAAACTGACACCTATATACCTATTTCGTGGGTGTAATCTTTCACCCGAGAACCAAGTGAACTACCCGTGAGGGTATCTGATACCTATTTCTTGTTTAGAGTATTCATAAGCATTATGTCAAAAGGAAATTGAGATTTTTATTGCATCATTGATAAAGAAATTGGTCTGACAAGCATACATTTTGCGTTTCTTTAGAACCACTAGAACTGTGCATGAACTAAAAACATAGAGAAAAAGTCTTTTAACTTCTTGTACACAGTTATTGCCCACATAATAACATCAATCAAGAAGAGCACAAAATATGTACAGGCATTTAGATTGTAACAAAGGAACAAAACGAAGTCCTTCAAGAAACCAGAAACCCATTGAACATCACTTCCAATCCAGCATGTCAAGTAGCCACAGAACCTCTTCTTCTGAATTGGCAGCATCACAGAAATCCATTTCAATACCAAAAACATCAATAACCACATCGCTAACCCCCTCGGTGCCATGGTCCATGAAGAGCAAGGATATCCATGCCCGAATGCCAGACACGAATAAGCAAACTGGAGAGGAGAACTCGAGATAGTCGTATGCCAGAGCCCGGTATGCTGTTCGGTCTACGTAATCGAAAATGGATTTGTTAATGATACAAGCAACTTTGTTCTTATCTTTCCGCCCCACAAGCACAGAAACACTGACTGTCTGGCTCAAAGGGACTGTAAACCTTGGTTCTACAGGAAGAGTCATCTTGTATTCTGGCCCTTCCAGATGAAACCTTAGCACATCGCAGATACCGGGTGGCGGAATCCATGTCCCCTTTTGGAGAACAGGTCCTGGCACCACTTCTGAGAATATTATCTTGTTGTCAGCCCAAATGTCAATGTAGAATTCCAATTCGTTGAAAGACAGTTTAGGAGGGAGAATGATTCTGCGATTCTTGTGCTTGTAAAATGTCTGGAATAATTTGTAGTAGGTTACAGTGGGTGGGGATGGACGTTTGCATATAGATGGCCACTTCTTTGCACATAGACACTTCCAGAAGTAATCATCTTGTGCAATCTCGCACCACTGTTTGCAAACTAACATACATGTAGCAAGGTCAGTGCCCTCCAAGAATGGGAAGACAGCCTTCAAAATTTCTTCACATGACATTTTTGGTACAGCAACAAAACTGACAATTCAAACTCAGCACTCAGCTTAAGCACCTCATTAAGGAATTACGATTCCTGAATCCATCAACTAGTAGTCTTTTCCTGTGCAATGACACATACAATCAAACTTCATAAGATAATCCAAATGCGCAAGCATCAGAATGAAGTGTAATCAAAAACAATATTTGCCATGCTCTTTTAGCCAAACACAAACGAGGTAACCTCAAATATATTAAGAAATTTTAAAAAATTACAGGACAAAACATATATAGAACAGGTTTTTCTTTTCTGGATCACTCTGTACAGTTGCAAACAGAACACAATTGAAGGAATAAATTGTTGATCATTGTTAAACGGCCCAATTTATCCAGAAGTATGATATCAAATTAGTAATGAGAACTGAGAAGCAATCACTATGCCAAAAGACATAACACTAGATGCATCTATTTTTTGATACACTTAAAACTATGCACATTATATATACTCAAGTAACCCTGTTCCTAACAGTTAGACTAGCTATAAATTAGATACTGATACAAAAACTTAAAAAAGCAAGCAGTTTTATGTGACCTTTCAAGATGCTCTCTACTTATCCAAACAAGAGCAAGCTTTTTTGGAACAGAGAGTATTTTTTATGGACACAATAAAGCCAAAAAATCTACATTTACTAATACAATGGCATCTATCTAACAGAGATCATGACACTGAAATGAGTCCAAACTGGGTGCACAAAATGTCAAAATTACAGTCGACGATAGCAAATTATAAACTCAAAACTGCTTTAATTTGGAAACGAAAATATGAGAAAAAGCTCAATTCCTAAAGATATGCACAGAAAAACCCTAAATAAACTCCCTGCAAAAACATTGTATAAAAATATACCGCATTCGTATACAATCTAACAGTCAAGTTGAATCGAAACCAAACTACCGGTAACATTAAATCCTAATCAAATAACCGAAATCAAAAAACAAAACAAAGTATTTCATCACCATAACATGCATACCCCGCTATAAAATGAGAAATTAAACACGTTTTACCTCCGATTTTTTGAAGATCTAACAAATAAAATGGAAATCAACCACGAAAAATTCGATCAAATAAAAGCAAAATTACCTCTACTTAATGCTCAGAGAGACGTTGAGAACCAGAATGAGATACAGAGATGCCTTTCGCTCTTTCGCCTTCGATCAAGAGAGAGAGAGTAATCGCATGTGCCGCGTCGCTGTTCCGTATTTCTTGAGGATTAGGTTAGACTGACAGAGCCATTAATGGGTCCCAATTGTATTAACGCCGATAATCAATCACAGATCGACGGCTGGCGAGAGTGAGAAGAGCAGAAGGAGCATATCGATGTGGTGGAGCGCGCAGCACTCTACCGACGCTGCTGAATTATTCCACGTGGAAGTTTCCCCACAGTCATACGGCGTCGGCACTCGGCAGTTGGTGGTCGACGACGATTTTTGCGCCTTGTATTTGGGCCTCTCAAGTTTTATGGCCCATCTTGCAAAAACTTGTTGGTTTTGCATATGGCAAATTTGTTTGCCAAAATGGTTGGAAAGCAATAATTCTTACAAGAAAAAAGGTTAAATAAATTTCCAAATGAATATTAGAGCAACTATAGTCGTGCATTTTTTTTTTTTTAATTTTTAGAACAGTAAAAAATTGAGTAATTGATTTTTAACTAATGTGAAACTTTTTTTGAATGAACTAATGTGGAACTTGATTTTTAGCAAAACCATGTTTTTGCAAGAGCGAAGGAAAAAAAAAAAAAAAAAACTTAGAGTGCACGTTTGAAACGCACTTTGTCAGAGTGGCTGTCAGCTGACTTTAAATCGTTGCAATCCTTTATTTTTAATTGTGAGAAACATTTTTTTTTTTCTCTTTCATTTTTGTCTCTCTCCTACATGGCATCCTAAAAAATTGTGTAAAAGCCCAACATATATGGATGCTATTAGAATTGAGTTCACTTAGAAGAAAATGAGAATATAGAGTTCGATTCATAATGGCAAAACTAGTCGATCAATCCAAAGTAAGCTAATAATTTTGCTTAGTTAACCGTTGTAAGTATGTTTCACAATTTATCTGATTCACCAAAACCCTAAGATCGAAACAGTAACTGATTGTCATTTTTTGTGATTGACATTCCTTCTTTTTCTTCCAATTATTGTCTACTGAACCAGTAAGCTAAGCATGTGCATGTGCGGACACTGATGGACAATATTCCTAATTGGAAGGTGTGGTGGGATTTTATTTGAAGGATAACGTCCAGGCTGGCTACGAATTGCACAATGCGTTGCTACAACTTTTTCCCTGCCGCATTTGAAGCCTTCATGTGAGAATTCAAGTTTTCCATGTGTCGTACGATCAATGGCACTTCTGCTTCACAGTAGTACAGCCATTACCAAATCTTTTGGAATCCAAAGCTTAATTATTGGGTAAGTAGTGACTGAATGGCACCCAAAAAAAAAAAATTTGGTAAAGGAATTAATTAGCCAATTATGTGAAATAAATAAACATATATATTTTTGTGCTTTAAATTATATATTATCCATGTTTTAATGGTTCTTTATTTATCGCATAAAAGTTTCGGTATATCTCAATTATTCATTTGAGAGTCATTCAATCACTTCAAGTTAGTGCGTCATTCGATTCTCTACATAAGAAATCACCTCAAGTAGTCTTGACTCGAGGTTACCTTGGTCTGGTACAGTCCTTATACCACATCGAGACCACATCGAGACCACTGTACTAAGAAATTAAATATGCAATGTATGTATTTATTACTAATTTCAAAATTGTTTGATTTTATGTTATAACTTCCCATTATCTTTTACAATAATGCTCATTTTTTGATCCCACTCTACTGTTATGATTGTTGTAAAAATCGGTCTAGACGGTCGCCTAGCACCAATCAACAAGGCGCTAGGCGTCTCTAAACCGAGGCGATTTTAATCCTAGGTGGCTTTTAGTTGGCCGACCGATTAACTGGCCAACGTAACTAGGCGACCTAGGTGCCAAGTTGAGCGCATAATTCGGTCGAGTCAAGCGCCTAACTTGACGGAGTGCGTGCCCAACTCAGTCGAGTCGTTTTTGTTTTGTTTTGTTTTTTGTTTGGTTTTTTTTTTTTTTTTTTTTTTTTTTTTTTTTTTTTTTGTCTTCTTCAATCATGTACTCAATTAATCATCTAACATATGCATTTGACTAGTTTGGAAATTACAACAGTCTAACTACTCCTAACCCTGAGTGAAAAAAGTGTAAACAATACACTCGAATTACTCACACTCGGCACTAGGCGCGCCCGACTAACACCTAACGCCTTCTGCAACATTGAGTGTTAGTCACACATAAATTACATTATGAACTCTGACACCATTATAATACTTTACATTATATTATTATTTCAAGTTATACTTGACACTAAATCATTTCTCCTAATGTTGAATGGAAAAGAAGAAGAAGGCGGGCGGGCGGGCGGGCGCATGGAATAGCGACAGAATGAATTAGCAGATCGAAAGAGATGAAAGCAGAAAACGACAAAAGAACAGAAATAGTAAACATTGTAAAAACATAGAAAACAAAGTGCAGAGGCAAATGTTGGATGGTAGACAAAACAAGTGGGTCAGACGGGTCGACCCAGAAAAGGCCACTAAACCATGTTCTAATGGGTCCCCTGCCACTGCATGGCGTTTAGGCGTGCCCTCTAAAGGCCTGCCCACCCAAATACAAAAGGAATAAAGCATCCATTATATTCTATTCTAACCCCCCCACCCCAACCCACCCATATATATGTATATTGTGTGTATATATATGCATTCTGCTTGCTCCCATTCTGTACATAGTACACTGCTTGGATCATAACCTATGTTCCACAACGTTACATAGGGTAATTATTGAGGGAGAGATGAGTTACCATTTAGGTATGACTACAGTTCCATTTGAATCAAACTGTGTGCATGGTATAGTACAAACCAAAATTTTATGGTAGATTAGCTTTTCTGGTGCACCGTCTTGATTTTTAGTGATTTTGGTTCAAAGATGTGTTGTTTCAAGTTGGAATTTGGAAAATGTATATATTTTTTAAAAAAATGAGTTGAACCCACAATTCGAACTTCAACCAAAATGGTTTTAATTAACCTAATGACTATAATTAAAGATGAGTTAGCATTTAGATATGACTATATATAATTATATTCCTTTTGAACCGAAACGTGCGGAACCTTATGGTAGGTTAGGGTTAAGGTTTGGAATCGAAACCTTAGCTTTTCTAGTTCACATGCATTCTTGAATTGATTTTCCGTGATTTTAATTTGGTTTAAAGAGGTGTGGCTTCTGTTTGTAATTTCAGCTTATTCCTAATAAAATCAGAATCAAACTTTACCAAATAAACTCCCGATTTCATATATTTTTGAACCGTGAACCACTACTGGAAATTATGGAATTTCCGACCACTTGAAAGTGATCTTAAATCTAGTCGAAAGCCTTGTTCCTACAACTTTTGGTATCCGGAAAAACCCTTATTGCTATTTCTGACCATTTTTTACTTTCAACTTGATTTAAGATCACTTCCAGGTGATCGGAAATTCTATAATTTTCAGCAGTGAACTGAGGATTTGGTACCATGGTCATGGCTTGCATTGAGGTGAAAGTGAGAGCCCAAAGGGGAATGGAGTAAATGATGGGTGGGTGAAGAGTGAAGACCCCATGGCATCAATCAAAAATTTAAAGCTTATTGTGATATCAAATCAGATGAACAGGCCATGGGCAGGTGCCAGGCTAGGGTTTGTGTGTAGTATAAATGCATGTTAAGGTGGTGGGAAAGAATGATAGATCATATATGGATTAATTTTCATCATTATTTCCTTATCTAACACATGCAGTACTTTTGGTTCTGCTGTTTGGTTTCGTCTTGAACTGTCATTCCAAACTATTTGGACTACATGCATACCATCCCTAGCTTCCTCTTTCACCCTCTCATCTTTAATTAACATGCATGTTTCTCTCTTTCTATAACAGACATTATTAATAAAGGACATATCCAAGACAACATAGGCCATATCACACCAAAGTTTCCAATTTGCTAACGTTTGTAGCTGAAACTTGGATTACATTCACACCTACTTTTTTATCTCAAGACATGCAAATCAAAATTGTGGGTATTATAAAGTAATATTGTTCGACGCAGGTTGGATGGCCAAGTCAAGTGGTATTGGCATGAATTCGAAACGTGACATTAGTTGCTACGTTGGTCGTATAAGGAAATATATATATTTACATCTCATCATTTGTCAATACACGTGAATTAAAATTATGGTTGTGTATTAAAGAAATGTTGTTGGACGAAATCTTGAAAGGTTAAGTCCGACAATATTAGTGTGCATAGTATTCACAGCCACAATTGGAAGTATTTAAACTCCTTGTATAATAATTTACAAACCATATAAAAAACTATATTAAGAAGACATATTAGTTATAACTCTTTATATAGTAATAAGCCGTTAATCCTAATAAATATATTTTATCTTCGCTTCCTAAAAAATAAGAGCATTTTGTTATCCAAAGGAAGATCAGTTTTTTTTGGGACTCGAATTTTAAGAGTTAATGCTATATGGGTCATCTGAATATAGTGATTTTGTCCCGTTTAGTCCTAAACTTTCAAATTAATCACTTGTAGCCATTTGACTTTCAAATTGTTACCATTCATAGTCTAAGTTAACCACCCATGGTCCTTTAACTTTCAAAATGTAACCAGTTGTGGTCTTCCAAGAATGACCATAACTGATTAAAATTTGATAGTTGAAGGACCATAGATGACTAACTTGGACCGCGAATGATAACAATTTGAAAGTCAAAAAACCATATATGAATGATCAATCAAAAAATTTAGAACTAAACGTGACAAACCCACTATATTCGGAGAACCCTGAATGATATTAACTCGAATTTTAATATTCTATTTGAAGAAACCATTTAGCATCTGTTACTCTATTTATAAGGTTCCACTTCATAATTAAATCTTTGATTTACGTAAATTAAAGCTTGCTTTATTTAAGTATGGATATATGTTGAGTTGGAAAGACAACTTTCTTGCAAACATTGACCATATGAGGTTGGACTTGCATAATTTAATCCTATTGGCATCACGTGCTACTCTCACACGTGGCACACATGCCGGATATAAGTTAGCTAGCAAATCACATGCATACATGTGATTAAACTAATCCATAGTACAGTACTTAT